CGGGGCGCGCGGGGCACGCCGGGAGCGTTGCCGGGGAGACGGGCGGGCTCAGTAATGGCGGGGCGAGCTCTCAGGGCGGCCTCGGCGTACGGGTGTGGCTCAGGGCCGCCACTCTCGCACAGATCGGCTGCTACCAGCGGCTGAAATACTGTAAACACCATGTTCTCCTAAACGTCCACATTTTTCACTCTAAAATCTCTTTGAATGAAGCAAGAGATTGAACGTCCTGATCGGTATTGACATTCCTCTAATAAAGCTAACAGCGCTTTAATAAGGTTTAAAATTGTTTTCAATTAGTATATTAGAAGGTGGGTCATTGGTAATTGGTAATGACGCGCGCACATACCCAAAGAAAAAGTGACCAAAAACCCCGAACCAGATGTCACATTTGCTGGAGATGGCAGCTAATCAAGGTGTAAATCCGTGATTGCCGCAGCTACAGCGGCGAGAGCTCAGCGCTTCTGTCAGCCTGCCTGAGCGGACCGGTGTCACCGTGAGGGTTAATGTGCTTCTTGCACTGCTTGCAGTGTTAGAAGTGAAATATCAACAGTATTCCATCTATACCTATCTACATCTATAAGGAAATCAATGACCTATAGGGAAATCAATGACGCCACAAAACTCTGCAATGAATTAAAAGTTAATTTTTATTCGAAGCAAATTTTGATTAAAAAATTGATTGAACATTAAAGGACATAGTTCTAGACAGTTTTACGCTGCAAAGAAATCTTTTTAGGAAGTGTTACAAAGTTGCACTCTCATTTTTCTGTATCAGATTTGCTTTTTTTTTTTTTTTTTCCCCCACTATCAACTCTACAAATATTAACTAAGACCAAACAGAAGTCTTTCTCCCTTTTACAGCTGCATTAACGGGAATGGTAGAATGGCACAGACTCCTTCTTTGGTTCAATTAGTGTCCATTAGTGTTCATAGCAGGATTACATAGCTATAGTCTATTGGAAAAAAATTAATTTACATGAGAAACATGACACCGAGACTCTATATCAGCCAGTGTGAGCTCAGCAGGGAACACAGCAAAAAAACCCACAAAATCTAAAATATTTTAGGTAACTAAAATCAACAGACAGGGTTGGGTGTCTCTTGCCAGCTAATTTAAGGAATAATTACTAAATATTCTCAATGTGTAATCTTTTTCTGAGAGGATAACTCAAGATGCTAGAAATTGTGTTACTTTATTTTTGCCTCCATGTTTTTCACATTGATCAGAGAAGGGTACTTGTTTCCTTCTGAGACCTGCTGAGTCAAATCATTCCAGTTATTCATTGATGGCCAGCAGTTCTGAAGTGTGGCTGGTAATGGGACTCTTCTTCGTCACAGTGACATTCCTACCTCTGCTAAAAGGAGTGCTGCTGTAGTGACTCAGATGGGAATTTGCAGAGTACCAGGAAAGAGAGAAAAAGCAAGAATCAAGATGAAGTTCAAGGGCACAAAGAGGAAATGGCTGAAGAAAGGAGGAATAGAAAGCAGAGCTTATAGGGGTAGAAGTGGGGCTAATGCACACAGCAAAAAAAGAAAGAGGATCTGGACAGCAAGAGGCAGAAACAGCTAGAAAATGAAGACTTTAATTGTTACTAGACAAATACGGGGGAAAAAAATGAGGGAGAGGTAAATATGAAGCCATCCTGTTGGGGAGAAAGAGGAATCACATACTGGGGTTGGTTTGAATTTTTCTTCTCTTCTAACTCAGTACATAAAGGAAATATGTACAACACCTTTATATAAAAAAGGATTATTCCAACAGTAGCAAACTCCCCTTTTTGGAACATCTCCCACAACACAGGCAGGCTTTTTTTGGTAAAAATATAAATCTATCTCATTAGTTTACTTAAAAAAATAAAGTCTAAGGGACACTTGAAGTTCACTATGGCTTGGGTAAAAGTAAAGAGATTTCATTTAGAGATCTTACAGTTTTTGATCAACAGTATTAGAGATTGTTTGTGACTCTTTAAATGTCATATTATATTAGTTCTGAGTAGATCAACATTTCACAGAACAGCAAGGTTCACCTTCACAGAAAGAAAGCAATGTATAAAAAGCTGTAAAATATGTAGAGAAGCCCAGGAAAATATTTCAATGCATTTTGCAGATAGTCTTTGGAGTTTACCGAGTAAGTATGGTCAGAAAAAGTCTTGAGTTTGAAAGCTCATTTAGACTTCTTTGCTGTCTTAGTTGAGCAAGCTGAAAATGGTTGCTAGATTAGATAAATCCTCAAGCTCCTGTAGCACGGTGGCATATCTTTAGAGAAGGTTTTCTTGTTACGTACACATGCTGCTGGTTGTACCTGTAGTTTAATCCATGCTTAGTCTATGTCACCTTGACCTGAATCCAGACTCTATCCAGGACAGAGGCCAAGTGGAGAATTAGAGTTGGGACTACAAGCTCTGTTCATCTGAGTCAGCAGATCCTGCAAGCATCCAAATAGTTTCACCATCCCATGTAATTGTGGCAGAGATGTTTGTGACTAAGTAGTGTGCTATTTGTGATAGAGACTTAAAACCATACATTGTGGTGGGGAGATTGCCTGAGAAAATGAATATTTTTGGCATTACGAAGTCAAAAGACAGAATTGGATTTTAGTGCTATGATAAGTCTTGTGCAGTTAAATTCAGAGGGCTTTTTTAACATTAAGCTCAGTAGAACCAGAGTACAATTTTTAGCATATAATATATCAGTGCATATTAAGCCTAAGGCAGTTTATTAAGGTGTTTCTCAGACAGATGAGTTGTATGAAGCTGCTGACCACACAAGAATTGTGTTCTCCACTTTCCTCTTCAGCCTGGATGTACAGTATTTCGTGCTGATCTTCTGTCTTTTCACTATGTGTCTATGACTACAAAGGAAAAGGATGTTCCCCTGACCAGTACCAACTCATTAAAATGGTATTAAACAGAAAAATATAAAGGGAATTTTTAGGCTACAAGGGGCTTTTTCCATGTGTAGTGTTTTCATATATTACAGGCTTCAGTCCTGACTGCTTTCATTCCCATTAGATTGATTCCATTCTAGCCATCAGTAACTAAACAATAACTAGAGTTTTTCCAAATTTACACACACAGGTAGGTAGAACCACACACTCAGCAGCTGAAGGGATCATGACTACATCAAATGTAAGCTCAATTCCTAAAGTTTCTGTTAAAAGCATGTCTGGGCTTCTTTCAGAAGCTTAGCACTGGCCAGCTTCAAGCTTGTCCTAAGGTATAGAGTATCACGGAATCATAGATTAGGCTGACTGATGTCACCCTGAAAACTCACCTTCTGAGCTTGCTGACTTAGTTTTCTGAAGACTTTCCCAAGACAGTAACTGTAAACATAAAGATGTGTACATTCTTTCTGA